TGGCAGTACCACGCTGCTTCCAAGAGGGGAGGAACACGGCAAGAGCCGTGCCATGCAGGGTAGTGTGTCTGCCTGCAGCGAAAGTGCACATTCATAATTTAGGCTGTTCTATTTCTGACAGGAGGAATGCTGCCCTTGCCCCTGCTGATGATGTGCTGCTGCTGCTGTGCTGCTGCTGTGCTGCTGTGCTGCTGCTGTGCTGCTGCTGCTGTGCTGCTGCTGTGCTGCTGTGCTGCTGCTGTGCTGCTGCTGCTGTGCTGCTGCTGTGCTGCTGCTGCTGTGCTGCTGCTGTGCTGCTGTGCTGCTGCTGTGCTGCTGCTGCTGTGCTGCTGTGCTGCTGCTGTGCTGCTGCTGCTGTGCTGCTGTGCTGCTGCTGTGCTGCTGCTGCTGTGCTGCTGCTGCTGTGCTGCTGTGCTGCTGCTGTGCTGCTGCTGCTGTGCTGCTGTGCTCCTGCTGCTGTGCTTGCTGACGATGTGCTGCTGATGTGCAGTGACGGCTGAAACCTCAGCTTGGGCAGTAGCTGCCCGCAGCAGGGGCAGCGAGGGGCTGTGGCTGTGCCAGGCCTCCCTCCCAGGGCAGGCTCCTGGGATTGGACTTCCAAGGTCCCCATTCCTGCTCTGTGAGTGGGGCCTTGGCTGTGCTCCGGCTTCCCAGAAACCTCCCCATGCTGGTGTGGTGCTGGTGCTCCTGCCCTGGGGCCAGCCCGCCTGGGGCCTGCCCAGTGCCTCCTCCAAACTACCCAGCTCAAAAGGCAGGTTCCCCTTTACCCAAATGAACACCTGATCTGCAACCAGCACGGCTGTGCCGGTGCCTGCATGTGCAGCTCACAACAGACATCACATTGTGCTGTGACCCTTACAAATCCAGCTCCATGATAAGTGATTACTGCTTTGTCCCCTTAAGTGACTGCTTTATATAGATGTTACTTCAGATCCTGAATGCTGAATGACCAAATCTCCTGCAGGAAATTATTCTACCTTAAGCATCAGCTTTCGGAAATGCATCATCTGACCTTCTGGGAAAACTGCAGCCGTCAGAGAACACAAGGCAGAGGGTTCTACACACAGCTCCCCTCCACAGGGGATTCCACAGGCTGGGATCACTGCTGCCTGTTTACTGGGATCTCTGCATCCAGCTACATCATCTCAGAAAGGAATCATTTCAGAAGTTCTATTTTATGATGTTTTAACTAATAGCTTAAAGGTCAGTTGCACACAATTCTGAGTTCAAGGTATGACTCCATTTGGACGTGTTTGCTTAGCTAAAACTCATAGGAGGAACTGTTAAATAGGTTTGAACCTTGCTGCTATACTGACTGCTTATGCTTAGTAAGAGACAAAGGAATTTTACACTGGGAAGACGAGCCAGAGCATGGTGATGCATTTACACAGAGCAAAGTATTATCTCATGTTACATGACATGCAGGAGAAGATGCAGTTAGAACATGCACAGTTTATCATTCAGTTTTGCACCTGATGACTCAGCTAATGCAACTACAATGGGGAAAATGGTCAGAACTCTTCAGGATAGCTTCCATTTTTAAAAGCTTTTATTAGATGTGTGTTTCCAAGTAATACGCGCCCTGAAAACTGGTGGAGGAAACCTCTGAGAGGCACAGTCTCCCAACACATCCCATTCGGAAGCATCTTAATTCCTGGGAGCTTTGAAGTCTGCCTCATTGCAGCCAAGTGGCCAAACCCCCTTCTCACAGGGATGCAGTGGATGATGGCAATGGGCCTCCCTTTTCCTATTTCAGAGCAGCCAGCAGTGATACCGAGGTCAGATGTAGTCCCCATGTAAGTGTTAAAGTGCATTAACACTTTAACTGTAGCAGCAGCAGGGTTGAATTTGCCCTGCTCTGCACTAAGCTCTCAATGCTGTGGGAGACAAGACGGTGCCTTCAGACCTGCCCTGGCTGCCTGCAGCTGGCTATCATGGCACGTTCACTCAGCAGAGCCAACCCTCTGACCCCCAGACATGGATGTCTGCCCCACAGTGGATTAACTCCCTTCCATCTACACACAGCACTGGGCACATCTTCCTCCCTGCAGCTCACTGATGAGCAAGAACCAAGCTCAAATGACCTGAATTCTATGATTTTAATCACAGAATTAAGTAGAAAACCCCAAACCACTCTAATTATGCCTATGCTAAATGACTCACCGAGCTCTTTATGTGACCACATTGTGCAGGACCTAACAGGGAGAGAAGCGAAAGCACTGCCCTCCCAGGGAACTGTCACTCCAGCCATGGAATCCAGATTCCAGGGAGCTTTTCATGGGAAGAATTCCTGGCAAACTTGAAAGCACAGAGTGCCTGAAGCCATGCAGTTAGGTGTGAGGCACCTAATGCTCCCCAGTTATCACACAAGTTATCAGACACGAGAGCAGCCACACAGCCACATCATCTGCACTAACAAGGACTTTTTTAACCAAGCAGGAAAAGACAATAACCTGGAACGACCAGGAACTGCCAGAAGGGACAAACTGAAAGTCGCTGTTTTTCTAAGTCAACTGGAATAAAAGGAAAAGGGGAAAAAAGAAAAAAGTGAAGAGCAAGCCAAGATTTTAGCCACGTGCTTCCTGAGCCAACTGCGTGCATTGATTTGTGGCAGTGAAAAGGAAAAGCTGGAATGACCCAAGCGGCTCTTCTCAGGAAGCTGCAGATACCCAGCTGGCAACCCGTGACCACAGACTTGAGACAGTTGTGGAAGATTCCTCACTCTTCTAGGAGGAGACATTGTGTAACGGAGTTATGGGAAGAACATGCAATATGAGTTACTGTAAGCCTTAAATGGGCTCCGACACAATAGACTATTGACAGCAAATTGTGCGTCCCATTCCAAGGTCGTGTGTTGAAACATTTTGTAGAAGAAAAATGATGAGGTTTTTTGGTTTAACGCTGCGTGCCAGCGCTATCCATCCTCCTGTGACTGCAGGAAGTGACCTCCCAAAGAGCCGCAGGAACAGCCCAAGTTTTGGTACTTCTTGTGGCGTTTTGTTTTTCTGCAATGCTCCATGGCTGAGAAATCATTTCTGTGGATATATGACATGTAAATTCATTGTTCACAGAACCCCGGCCTCGTTTGGGTTGGAGGGACCTTACAGCTCCTCCAGCTCCAAACCCCAGCCACGGCCAGGGACACCTTCCACTAGAGCAGCTTGCCCCAAGCCCCTGTGTCCAACCTGGCCTTTTAACTAATCCTGCTAAAAACTAAGAAGTATCCATGCAGTTTATTTCACTGAAACCCTTCATTTTCTTTCTTAGGACCTCATCCTGCCCTGGGACTTAGCAAACCTGACTTTCCTACCCAGGATTTTACTGAGAGGATCTGTGCTCCTTGAACTGAAGCCCTGCTGCCTTCCCATTCTGGGTAAATCCTGCTCTTGTGCATCTGTTGAACCTGCAGAGCGTTTTACCCTCCCTGGGTGCCCCAGGAGCAGCAGCAGCACTTGTGATTGGCAGAGCGAACCCAAAGGCTCTTCCCACACAGGGAACCGCGTGTAGCTCAGTGTCCCTGCGAAAACAGGGATTCATTAACCAGAACAGGTACTGTCCAAGGGCGGTGGAATTGCCAGCTTTGAAAACGACAGAATCAGCACCAACGGATTGAACATTACAGGGGCATTCCCCACAGCAAGCTCACTGCAGCATTACAACAGAGCAAACATTAATCCAACTGCAGGATTTCTGGCAAGAGGCAGACAGACAACTCCAATTAAACCATGCATTAAATCCCTTGCCAAGCAGGGATGGAGCCCTGTGCCCGTACCACTGTACTGCGGTACAGAATGCTACAATCACAGGATCAGCCAGGCTGGAAAAGCCCTTCAAGCTCATCCAGTCCAACCCTTACCCCAGCACTGCCAAGGCCACCACTGCCCCATGGCACTGAGGCCTCATCTCCACGGGGTGTGAACACTTGCAGGGCCGGTGACTGCAGCCCTGCCCTGGGCAGCCTGTTCCAATGCCTGAGCACCCTCTGGGGCAGGAATTGTTCCTCAGCTCCATCTAAACCTGCCCTGGTGCAGCTTGAGGCCGTTTCCTCTTGTCCCATCCCTTGTTCCTTGGGAGCAGAGCCCAGCCCCTCCTGGCTCCATCCTCCTCTCAGGCACTTGTAGGGAGCCATCAGGTCTCCCCTGAGCCTTCTCTTCTCCCCACTGAACCCCCCAGGTCCCTCATCCCTTCCCCATCACCCCTGTGCTCCAGGCCCTTCCCACCCCAGCTCCTTTCCCATGAGCATTTTCCAGCCGCTCTTCCCCGAGCCTGGAGCGTTCCTGGGGTTCCTGTGGCCCAAGTGCAGGCCCCAGCACTGAGCCTTGTTGACCCCCATCCCATCGGCCTCGTCCCCTCCATGCAGCCTGTGCAGAGCCCTCTGCAGAGCCTCCTGCCCCCAGCACACCAGCACTGCCACCCGCCGTGGCGCTGCCTGGGGCCCTCTGAGTGCTGCCACTGGACAGCGCTGGCGCGGGGCCCTGGGGCCACCGCAGCACCGCCAACACCTGAGGCGTCAACCCCGACACCGCAAACTCTGACGTCATGGGCGCGTCATCTCCCTTCGGGGCACACGCAAGGGCACACATCAAGGGCGACAAACCGGGGCTGGAGCGGGACTGCGCTGAGTGCCCCCCAGCGCAGCAGCGCCGTTATCCAGCCCGGAGGGTGAATGAAGCCGCCATTAAACGTCAAACCCCGGCCGTGACGTCACCTGAAACGCCGCCGCCCGGGCCCGGCCGTGACGTCACGTTGAACGCCGGCGGCGCGGGCCCGGCCGTGACGTCACGCTGAACGCCGGCGCGCGGGCCGCCCGCCGCGGGGCACGCCGGGGGCTGTAGTCCTCCCGGCCGCGAGGGGGCGCGGCTGCGCAGTGCGACGGGCGGGCGGCGCGGCCACGGGCACGCCCACCGGTGCGGCGGGCAGCGGGCCGGTCACGGGCTGGGCCTGGGTCTCGGTCTGGGTCTGGGTGTGTGTGTGTGTGTGTCTGTGGCGGCGCTGCCCGCCCGCCCCGCGCAGGGATGTTCTCCAGGAAGGGCCACGCCGATGTCAGGAAATCCACGCAGAAGGCGCTGGACCCGAAGCGGGATGTACTCACCCGCCTCAAGCACCTCCGCGCGCTGCTGGGTGAGTGCGGCCGCCGCGGCGCTGAGGGGAGCGGGCGGGGCCGGGCCGGGCCCGGAGACCCCCGCCCCTACGCCCCACGGGCAGCGAAACCCAGGGGGGCCGGGCCGGGCGGGAGGAGCCTCACCTTAGCGAAAGCCTCACCTCGAGGCGAAGGTGCCGGCCGCGCCCGCCTCCCAGTCAGCCTCGGTGCCTCCGTCCGTTCACCGGCGCTGCTGTCCTCAGGCGGGAGAGCGCTGCGGAGTGAAGACTTGACAGGCAGCCCCCGCTGAAGGTGCCCGTGCCTGCCCCGAGTTACCGCAGCTTTCCCCAAGCTCCCTTGGCAGTGCTGGGGAGCTCCGGGCGCTTCCCGGCGCTGTGGGAAGGCAGCAGCCCGCCTCCTTCCCCAGTTCCCGGAGCCCATGCAGAAGGTTATTGCCGTGCTCTGCTGCTCCTGGCTTCGGAAACTTGGGTCGCTTGTGTCGAAATACTTGTGCTGCAGCATTGTTGTTTGGGGACAAAAGCCGTGCCTACATGGGTGATTTCCTGCGGGGCTCTTCGGAAGAGCAGTTCTAGGAGCTCTGCTCTTGTCAACAACACGTTGACAACTTGTCCTTCTTCCTTGCTCCCTCCCGGAGAGCTGCTTTTCTGGGGCCAGGCTGAGAGAGCTGGGCTGGGGCAGCCTGGAGAAGAGAAGGCTCCTGAAGGGGAGACCTGAGAGCAGCTCCAGTTCCTGAAGGGGCTGCAGGAAAGCTGGAGAGGGGCTTGGGACAAGGGATGGAGGGACAGGCCAAGGGGAATGGCTTGAACCTGCCCGAGGGGAGACTGAGCTGAGCTCTTAGGCAGAAGCTCTTCCCTGTGAGGGTGCTGAGGCGCTGGCACAGGGTGCCCAGAGAAGCTGTGGCTGCCCCATCCCTGGCAGTGTTCAAGGGCAGGTTGGACACAGGGGCTTGGAGCAAGCTGCTCCAGTGGAAGGGATCCCTGCCTGTGGCAGGGGTTGGAGCTTTCAGGTCCTTTCAACCCAAACCAATCTGGGATTCTGTGATTTCAGCTGTGAGAAACGAGTTGCTAAGATTTGGTTGGCCTCGTGTTCTCTGTTACTCAGCAAACTGCAGCAGGAGAATGCTTTTAAGAGGTTTTGTGCACTGTCTCTGTTCAGGAGCATCGGTGGCAGTGTGTGTTTATCTCAGTTTAGATTGTTCTCCTTGGTAAGAAGGAGGAGAAAATGATCTGGTCTGTGCCAGTGTACTGCAGCCCTTGGCTAGTTTGCCGTTTCAGTCAGGTTTGCAGGTGTGTTAAAGCCTCAAAGATGTTGTGTTGTGGGCTGTGAGAAGCAAGTAAGTGTCTGGAGGGGAGGGCCTGGTCAGGAGAGAGCAGGAGGCTGCAGGGCTGCACCAGTGAACCGCCCTGTGGGCAGCGTGGGCCCATTCACGGTGCTGGAGATGGAACTGCAGGTTAAAATGTCAGCTGTGAGGAGGGAACATACACAAACAGGTTTGAACGTTCTGTAGCAAATCAAGGAGCCTTTGTGGTGAGGACCCTGAGTGTGGTCCTGGGAAGAGCAGTGCTTCTCTCCCTTGGGATGGAGCCCTGGAGAAAGCTGTGCTCAGGGTGTGGAAATGAGTGAATGAAGTGAAAGCCAAGTCTGTATTGGTTTAGCTTGCTACGGGCATCTTGCTGATTTTTTTGGGACATGTTTCGTACGCATGAGTAACCATCCCCCTGGTTTGTGTTGCTCCCTTGTGATCTGCTGCACTGAAGTAGCTAATCTGAACCAGAGACTTCTGTGGGTAATCGATCAGTGGACAAGTGCTGGACAGATCTGTAACTGGTCTTGAGTCATGCTCTGGAAGTGGCCAGGTCTCACTCATCTTGTGACCAGCAATGCACGCAGGTTTGATGTGCCCAGACCATAGACAGTTAATATTCCCCGTGTGGACTCACAAGTGGAGCAGTTCTGACTGCTGTGGTGGTGGGACACAAGAGTCTCACGGGTTGGAGCCCCTCAGCACCTGCAGTCTGCACGTTGTTTGTGAACAGCATTGAAGCTTAGCTTTGGAATTAGTGCTGAGTGAAGGGTCTGTGGCTGCTCTGGGTATAAATTCCTCCTGTTCTGTATGTACAGAATCTCCATAGTTGTCAATCTGGTGTGAGTTTCGTGTTGATTTCCCTCTGAGGACCAAATGTGTGTATGAGAACTTCGTTTGCCTTTCTATGTATTTAATTCTTAATGGTACCACGTATTTAAGGGCAGGACATTGGAAGGGTGGGAGCACATTCCTTACCTGCATTATGATGTGCCTTTTAACTGTGTATGTCTCATTGCTCGTGTGCTGTGCAAGCAATAGGAAAAGAATGGCAAGTTTCAGTGTAAAAAAAAAAAAAAAAAATGTTGGGAAGCTTCTTGTTTCTGAGGTGAGGTTTAGAGCACTTTGTGAAAGCATCCTGGAGAGATGCTCTGAGAGGCTGGAATGCGAGCTCGCAGACCATGTGTGTCGTCGTGCTCCACCAGCCCCACGGGAGTAAAGGGACTTGAAGAAACAAGAAGTACAGCAGCTTGGGTTAATGTTCCCCTTTCGGCCTCTCGGAAGGACACCACTAGGTTAAGGTGAAACACTGGTGTGGCTGTGGCTCTGGCTCTTGGTGGTACCCATCCTAGGGAGTGTGATGGTTTGTGTGCAGGACAGAAGGTTGTCAGGCTCTGGTGACAGAGCTGACGGGTGGAACTAATGGAAATACACCCATGAGCGTGACGAAATTAACTGATGTCCTCAGGCAGATGGAACAGAAGGGGAGAGCCGTGCCTGGTGCTTTCTGTAAAAATACTGACAACCCAGCTGGTAATGGGGAAATATCCCTATCACTGCTCAGGAAGTAGCCACTGCCAGAGGTAGTGACCTGATGTTTTGATTAACCTTCCTGTTGAACACTGGTTTCGGGTGAAGCTGTCATCAGAACCAGAGGGCTGGGCAGTGAATGAGGGCCTTGCTGGCTGCAGTGCTGTGATGTGACAGCTCGCTGTCTCGTAGGGGATGTGGCTTGTTGCAAGGGCTGTGTCAAAGCAGGCTGTGGTCCTGTTCCTGATGTCTGCCTTTGAGAACATCAATGTAAACACTTCAGATAACATGGGAGTGGCTTTTTGAAGATAATATCTTCAGAGATGCTGTTGCAAGTGCATGTTTTATGGTATTGTTCAGCAGGGGGAATGAAGCAACTCATGGTAAGGATCTCTTCTGTATTTAAAGCAAACTGAGCTTTTGGTATAGAGTCTCAAAAAGAGTTGGATGTTTCTTTCTCTTTCTCTCCCCCTGCGGTGTGGCACTCCTTGTGCTGGCCAGGGCTAGGAATGTGTGTGTCTTCGTGTCCTCCCACCCCAGTCATTTCACTCCCTGTCCCCAACTGCTTGGCTCAGGCCACAGTGGCACATGTTCTCAAAATAACTGCCCTGTTCTTGTGTTTCCGTAGGAGGTGCCATCCTCTCCTCCTTTGTTAGCTTTAAATCACAGGAATTAATCTGTAAACAAAATGACAGTTACTCCTCTGAGATCCTGCTGACGCAGGAGGATAGGAATCAGAGGATGGTATAACAGGGGAGGGATGAGAAGGAGGAATATGTATTTCCATAAACAAGGGGTTGTGTGAGCACCAGCATCAGTAACACACAGTTTGATGGCTTCAGGTCCCTTAGCTACCATCTGTTTGTCCAGTACCCAAACGGAAAGAAAAGATTCCTGTACATTTGTGTTGCTGTAACATCCATCCCTCAAGTCTCTGATGCCCTTCAGGATCTGAGCTCCTACTTCCTGTGGGCAGTCTCTACCTGCATGGCCATGCAAAGCACTCACTGGTGTTAGGGAAATGACCAGAAAAGTTCCTTTAGTTTTGTTACTGTAAAGACAAACTGACTTTCAGAACTTGGGTAAAATCGGTAGGAATGTTTTTTTTCCCAAATACAGTGTCAACAGTGTGGTCTTTTTAGGATGGACTTGAGCCACGCTGGTGTTATAAGCAATGGTGGTGACAAGCTTGGCTCTTTCACAGTGATTTGGCCATAAACGAAGCCCTCTGCACTGTTTCCCAGGTTAGTGTCTGCGGGACATTGTTTAGCATAAAAATGTGTCTTTGCTCTTTAAAACTTTGTTTCTGTGACTGTTCATGGGCAAAAATATTCTTTCTTTTTTTAAGCATCTCAGTGTTTTCTCCTCCGACACAAGTGACAAGTTCACTCTAACATCTTTGCACGCCTTAGTGTATTCCCCATGAGTTTTTCTTCTGGTTCCAAGAATTGCTCTGTCGTGACGTATTTTTTATGAGTAATGGTGTAGCAGGAGCAACAGCTACCCTCTGCTGTAGTTCTCCAGTAATTTACATGAGGTCACTCTCCGCTCATGCAGAATATGGGTAAGTTTTTATTTCATGAGGGTGCTGAGCCTTTTCTGTGTGGTGTTATTGCTCCTTCCAATTTCAGAGTGATTTGCCAGAGAGCTTTAGGGCTGGAGATAATGTTGGTGTGGAGGTTGTGTCTGTGAACAGACCCTGGTGCTCTAAGTTGCCCACCACCATGCACATTAAACTGAGAAACAGCAAAGAGTGGGCCCTTCCCCAGAGCCACCGGTGAATCTCTGTGAGCTGCCTGGGATGGGGATGGTGCTGAAGCTGAATTATGGGGCTTGAATTTTCTTGAACTGAATATTGTTAAGGATGATAACATTGCTTTGAAAGTAGCAGCAGATTGGTGCCGTTGCCAAGCCCAAGAACAAGATACTGAAGGAGGGCAGTGGGGTTTTCCAGTTATGGCACAGGCGTAGGAGAGGTTTTCATTTAGAGACACTCAAAGGTGACCTCTTCCAGCCTTCCTGCTGAGTTTAGAACAGCCCTTACCCTGAGGTTTCACATGAAATTGGAGGTGTTCAGTTATTGTAGAGATTGCTCTAACTAGAGGGGGTTAGTAGAGGATGTTGCCATGCTGATGCACCTTTTTGAAGGTAAAACCTGTTTGTAATTTCTGGGGCAAGAGTAGTAATAAAAGTTTGCAATTAACCGGGGTACGAGTGTACCATTGTACCTTCATCTGCTTTAATTCTGAAGTATTTGAGCTAAAGAAAGCCCTTCAGGACTGAGAGAACTTTGTATGAATAACATGAAGCCAAGAGACTTTGGAAGTTCATGGAATGAAGGGAGGGTTTTGATTACTTAAGTGACTGCAGCAACACTTGGAGTTAACAGGAAAAGAAAGGTTCTGGCTTGCTAAGGACAGGATGATTGTCCCCGCAGATCTAGTCATATGAGAAGGGTAATGAGAGCTTGGCAGGAAACCCAGATTCTTATTCAGTGGTACCTGGATAGTTTGTTTCCCTAAACTTCCAGCTTCAGTAAGGCAAGTAATGGTGACTTGCAGTTACCTTATGAGCCAACTGCTCCATGCTTTATATGGAGGGAATATCATGTGCACCCTCCTGAACGTCTCGTTATCTCCTGTATGTTGCTGTAAAAGCTGTAAAGTGCCCATGGGCAGCATCAGCCAATGGATCACCTATCCGTGTTTGGGGAATGCCGTTAGCGTATATGTGGGTATGGGAAACCATTATGTATCTGATGGCTGACAGTGTTTGCTGGCTTGCTCAGAGCTCTGGCATCACTAGGTGGCTGGTTTCAGCAGGAGTAACCTGAGAGCTACTTATGAGTAAATATAAAAATATTACCTAATACCTGCAATTCAATCCCAGCCCTGCAGTTTAATTTCCTTGGATGCTTATAAATTCTTCAGTCACTGTGATTTCCCTAAAGTCAGTGGTTTATTTTCTTATTTTGTATGATAAGTAGTGCATGATACTTTCACTGATGTTTTCCATTTGGAAAGCAGAAGAATGAGCCTTACCCTGCCGCAAGCTGAACATACGTATAGTAGTGAGCCAAGTGAGTGTCTCAGGCCTCCTGCCAACTTTCCATGAGCCCTCCTGGGAAGCTCTGTCTTGTCCTGGTTTCTGTCGGTTTAGCTGGCAGAGCCATCGCCCACCTCTGCCCTCCTGTGCCCACCGGAGCAGGGAGAAGCGCTCGTGCTCACTGTGGCTTTCCACTGCTCCTCACCATGAGCATGTGTGGTGAAGGAGTAAAGAAACCGTGTTTTCTTAATGTGTGCAGCAAGTAAGGAATTTGGGAGTGAAATGCCCAAGAAAGCTCTGTCTTTGAACAATGGAATTATTGGGCCAGTGGCTTATTCCTTGTGTATTGGATATTATGTTTTAGGTGAAGTGCGCAGTGGTGTCAGGATGACAACTTGCATGCAGGATTCCAATAAAGTCTTACTTTCTGAGTGAATATTATCTCTTGGGGTAGTAAATGGGGGTGTTGTTGCTGGCTGCTTCTAAGGCAAGAGAAGGTTTTCCTGCACACCTTGCGAGGGAATGTGAGGAGCACCGTGGTTCGGCAGGAGAGGGCTGCAGTGCTCCAGTGCCTCCGGACAGCAGAGCAGCACATGAGTCACGCATAGAGAAAAGGAGAATTTGCTTTTTTTGATCAGGCAGTTCCTTTCTCCTTTCACAGCTCAAAGGCAAAGTTTCCTTTTTGTTCAGCTCTTAATGACCTCATCCCTTCATATGAAATCCTTGTAAATGGAAGCCTTGTTTTCTCCCAGAGTTGTATTTAACAGGACGCATTCAGAGAGGGGAATATTTGCACTTAGCTCACAAGTTCGAGACCAGTAGCTTGTAGGAAACAGATATCATGTAAAAGAGTTTCCATGCCTTGCTTGTTTCCGTAGCACAAGCAACCAGGCAATGCCCTACTACCAAACCGGTATTAATTAACCCTCCCTCCGCATTGTCCAAGACTAAAGTCATTCCCTCTTCTGCACTTGTGTGATGTTACTGGGTTGTGTTGCAATTGCTTTGTCTTGATTAATGAATGAGTTTCTTGAGAGGTGAAATTTCAGTGAGAGGCTGTGTTGTTAATAATTCCTGCCCTTTATCTTCTTACTTTGGGGTGGAATCATCTCACTCTTTGTGACCAAATCAGTTCAGTGAAGAGCAGGTGACGTTAAAGTGTGTTTTGCAAGTGGCAGGTTTAGAAAACATTAGGTTTTTTTTTCTTCTGAACAAATAAACTTATTTCAAATGCCAGCCCCAATCCAAGGCTCAGGGAAGGGAGCATGCCCGGCTTTCCATTGAAATGAATTGGGAATTTGCTGTTTTCTGAATTGATCTGCTTGTCAGATAGTCTGCAGCTTGCATACAGCAATCTCTCCTGGTGTTTGTCTTTTCCCACAGTACCTCCTTGTAATGACACAGAAGCCATTAGGTTGATAGCCAAGACACAGCCCATCTCCTTTCTGATTCTGTTGATGGAAACCCGGTGGACCTCAGCCACACGGCAACCTTTCATCAGTGAAGTGCAAATGGAAATGCCCCTGTTTTACTTTGCAAGGATGGAATCAGTTTGGTGTAGAATACCCAATGAACTCACTGAAATGGTTTTGTATTGTGTTTATTCCATTCTCTAACACTCAGTTTGCATGAACACAGTGCCTTCCAGCTTTGTGACGTTGTGCAGTGACTCCGTTTGTTCCTCTTTTCAGATATTGTGGATGGGAGTGACCTGAAGCAATTCTTTGAGAACAATTATTCTCAAATTTATTTTGTATTCTATGAAAACTTCGTAACACTGGAAAACAGCTTGAAACAAAAAGGTAAGTTTTAGAGGTTTGCCAGCAGTTGTTGAGTCAGTTTTCCCCAACTGTTCTCAACAGCATTCTGTTAGAGCTTATCTGGTGATTATCTAGTCCACAGTTACCTCTATTTGCATTAATGGTTCTGTGCAGTACAGTATTAGTATTAATCATGTTAATTTTACGGTGGCAGAGAGATGAGCACAGAAATTGCTCTGAAATGTCATAACTGAAAAGAATTCTAAATGCATTTTTATGGTGAAGTGTCACTTCAGCTCAAGAATCAGTTCTCGTGCATTTATATACGCATCCTCTTGCCTCGTTTTGAAGTGCTGAAGCCTTCAGCCTGCAGTTAAGCAGATGTCTGTTCAGCTCAAGCACTGTCAGAGACGCACAGACCAAGCGCAGTGTTGGAGCTCTGTCGGCAGGAATGGCTGTCTGCTTGGAGATGGGCACGGTGACCTGGACTCCAGCGGTCCCTCACTCGGATTCAGAGAGAGGGGCACTGAAGTCTGGAAGCATCTTGCTCTTTTGCTGTTAAAGATGAATAAAATAAGCAGAGTGCAACATCTTTGACTTCACATGAGTAACAGTGTGATTTTGCCATCTGTTTCATACTGTGTATTTATGGCAAACTGTTGCTTTCTGCCTTGCAGGGAATAAATCACAAAGGGAGGAGCTGGACTCCATTCTCTTTCTTTTTGAAGTAAGTTTTCCAACTACTTTTTATTTTAAGTCTCGCTGTGATTATATGCTTACTTAGGCCTTTACAATGCGGGGTGAAGCCAGATGTCAGTCAAACCGACAGTAGGTGTCCGTGACTATACAAAGTGGGAGGCAGAGGAGAACTGGGGGGGTTACGCTTGCAGATACGATGACAATAAACAGTTTATTATGCAATAGGAATGTTGGTTGGATGAATATCCAGAGTTAAGAGATTTCATCAAAATCTCTTGATAGTCATTTTGATAGACGACAGGTGTATTACTGTCATTTATCTGTAAATAATATATAATGAATACTGTGGTTATGAATTATACCTGTCCTGAGGATCAACTCTTTGGAAGTGTCCTGGGTCCTCTCAGTAGAATTTGGGAGCAGTTTTTTTGAATGAAGTTCTTGCTTCTGTGTCTCATGGAGGACTAGTTCGGAACAGCAGTTCTGCTCCACTGTGCTTTGTCAGCGTGAAGTTCAGTGTCACGTTTATGTTGAATGTCTCACAGCAGGAGTCTGGGCTCTGCTCCTTTCACAGGGAGGCATCTGTTACCACTGCAGTATTCAGTCTTGCAGCACAAGGAAACCAAAATGAGTAAGAGTTGTCAACTACCGCATAGCAGTTTGAGCTGAGTGTGAAATGTTAATGTAACTTTTTTAATGGCAATGTTTAAAATGGGATTTATTAAAGAGGAGCATCTTTTCCACCCAGAAGCGTGCCCTTTCCAGTGCCAGCGCTCACAGTGTCTGCAGTGTCTAGGGAGGAAATGTTGGCCAGTTAACTTTAGCAGAGTCAAAGCTGGGTGTCTTTGATTTAAAAAAGAGTAGCCTGTGATAAATCATTTTCTCAGGGATCTCTACAATCAGTTATTACCTAAATATATTTGGGTGAGAAAACATCACTGGACCAGATGAAAGCCTGACATATAAAGTGTCTTACAAACACACAGCAGAAGCTCTGTCTGTCTGAAGACAGGATCAGTGGTGCCTATAGGGGTTTTGGTTTGGGGTTTTTTTAACAATCCATTAGGTAAATAATTGGCCTGATTTCTTTCTCAAGGGTAAATACACACATCTCCTATTGATTTCTCTTTGTTAATCCATCTGCTAACTTTTTACTTGAGTCTTACATCACAAAAGTGTTAGTCTTTCTTTATAGTTTAGGCTTTTTTTTGGTAGGGGTGTTAGGAAAAAAAGCCTCAGACTTTCGATGGGACTCTAGAAATTAAAATGAAGGTTACGTGTTCTGAACTCTTTTCTCTCCCTCTAAAAATGGAAAAAAATCCATTGTATTAATGTATAGCTTGTAGTTACAATAATATTTATCCTGACAAGAAGAATGATGCTGTCTAGCTTAACACGCTGTGATATGAAACATGGCCATGAAAATGATGATATGAAGTGCTGGATTTTTGTGATCTCATCTTCCAATATTTATGAGGTAGCCAATTCATCTCTTGACTCGCTCCTCTGTCTGCCAGGCTGCATTTTCACACTGAAGTCTAAAAATCAAATCATGTTTTCTGCTACTTATTAATAAAAGAGCCTGCTTTAGGCTTTGCATGGGGCTCATACATCTGCTAGTGCCGTATTTGGGGCAGGAGATACTCTTCTTCCCTCTCCTCCCACGCCGGTGGTAAAGGTATGGCCACATCTCCTGAGCAGGGCTCTGCAGCTTAATGGGAGCTCATTAATGCCCTTGCGCTGTGTCTGGAATAAGTAATTTCAGTGGCTGTGTCATTAAATGGCAAATAGCTGATGGTTGCTCACCCTCTTGAAGTGAACACACGTTCACTCCTGGGTCCTGAAACCCAGGGTGCTGAGAACCGCGCATCTAACGCCGCTTAGAAACGTCAGGAAAACACTCTGTATGAGGAAGAGAAAAATCCATAGTTATATGGAACGCGGTGTTGCTTTGGGTCCTAGCTGAGGGGAATTACGTTACAGCCTGGTCACCGACAGCCCTGGGGAAGAAGAAGTCCTTTTGGATGCTTGTGTGGATTTTGGAGGGGTCCCTTCTTGGGCTTTATCTACTGAAGTAAATTTGCAGTCCATTTGTAACACGTGCTCACTTGTGGGAGAACAGTTCTTTCGAGGGCCCTTTAACATGCCCCCCTTAACAGAGGGTACGTCAGCCTGGGCACAGGACAGGAGAAGATGTAAATGCCACGAAATGAAACATTCATACTGCAATCCATAGGAAACCCAGCTAATGGGTTGTTAAGCTGCCCGGGTTTCATCTGGTGGCAGCTGAGCCAGAGGGTGCCTGGAGTTTCCTTCTAATTAGCTAAATAGGTAATTACTGAGGATTAACAACGCTGGAGTCCAGGAGCTGAGGGCTAACGCTTTGCGAATCAGCAGCAGTACTTATGGAAGGAATGGACCTCTGCCTGTCCGGTGGCTCAGTGGGGTCCTGCTGCTGTTCTAGTGACACCTACTGTGGGTAGGAGGTAAAAGTAACAAATGCCTTTTCCATAAATCCCCTGGAAACTGTGTTGATTCGGTTGTAGTTTATTGAAGGTTTAATTTTACATGTCAGCTACCCAGCCTGGCCACTCAACAGTAACATCACACAACATATTTAAGAAGAACTACTAATCAAAAGGGGGTAACATGAAAGGTTAACAGTTCATTTTGTAAAGTACTTTGTTACAATTAATGTAACAAAGTTCTTAGATCTAACTTCATGTTCCCTAAGGTGCGTTGGCCTCCTCTTTTGCCGAACAGATATTCATGAGATGATACATGATGTAGTTAGCTGTATTATTTTTCCGTGTATCATCTCAAAGGCCAAGTCATGTGAGAACTGACTTTGCCTGTTCTCTGGCGAGGCCCGGTTACCTCCCGACTGCAGTACGTGTTCAGAACGCATTGACAGCATTTCCCGTGTCACTGTTCTCCCTGACTTGAAGGCGCTGCGTGTTACGCCGAGCACTGTGGGTCACAGAAGGTGCACTGCAGTTCTGCAAAGTTGCTGGGTCCCATGGGAGTTCTGTGCCATCATCTGAGTGTGAAAGCTGTGGTTTATTTTAATTATAAAGGGTTTTGTCTTGCAACATCAAGTACCGATTCCTCTGAGGCTGCATTCTTTTTGCACTGGTAATGCAGTAAGAGCAGGCTGATAGGTTGATATAATGCACAGATCAATTTCTTCCCATTCTCTGTTTTATGCACAGCTGCATCTCTTGTGCTGATGCGGCATTCACTGCACTGATGTAACATGCTGGCTGTATGAAATAGTTTGTTCTTATAATTTCAGATACACTTTCTAGTGCAGGAAAGCTTTCCAAAGTCACTTACAATAGCTGCTGTTGTTGCTAGAACTTTCTCAGGTCCTGCCAGTGGCGCTCAGGTCTGTGCTGAGTGTAGGTAGCTGGGGTGGTGGGTTGGGTGCCCCCGCTGCCGCAGGGTATGTACACAGAAAGCCTCTCAGCACAGATTGCTTTGCTTGTTTATTTTGTAGCAGTGCATATTGCTGTAGCATTAAGTGCCCTTGTGTTTCACAGCTCCTAAATAACAAAAGCATACTGTGGTTTTCATATAGCTTGCACAATAAGCTTTGGTTTTGCTGGGTGCTCTTAATTGCTCCAAGTCCATCATTCTTGTGGAATTTGTGGTTCCTTGAACTTGGAGAAGATGAGAGTGAGGCCAGACACAGGGTAAGCATGACCTCGTGAAGGATCTGCAGAATTACAACCTGATGTAGCTCGTGCTGTGCTTCTAGACCCTTCTGTGTGCCAGGCCCAGCCTGCCCCCGCACGGCTCTCGCCCTGCTGAAGTGAGTTGAGGCTGGCAGGGGCGGTGAACAGGCACAGAGCTGTCTGTTCTGCCTCCCGTACAACCTCAGCAGCAGAATACTGATGCACCCGCCCCAGCTCTCCTCTGCAGTGTCCCCAGTATGTACCCAGCAGGTGATGTAAACTGGAATGTGAACGGGCTGGGAGCCTCTGCAGTGCTGGCATTGCACACGCTCAGGTTCATGTGAAGTGACTTCAACGAAGTGTCGTCCCAGAGCTGATCATCAATAAACTGCTGGAACTTGCCCAATACACTTTGAGCTCTGTGTTTTATAGCAGCGGGTACTGATCTCAATACAGTGGTGCTGTCCTCAGGAGCACATCTAAATATAAACTACAAATGGCCATGTACTCAGAGGATTAAGATGTGATATAAATCCACTGCGGCACGGGTTGCTCTGCTGTCAGAATGGGAATGTGATGACTACAGAAGGAACCTGAGTTTGTTACTGCAGGTGTGCACAAGTGACTTGTTCTGCAGATGGTGGTGCTAATTCTGTATAGGTTTGTAATTGGCTGCAGTCTGTTAGGAGCCCTTTGGAAAAGTAGATTCAGACCAGGCACAGTAAATACACCACATGTGTCGGAGGAACACCGGCTGTGGTGTGGGTGGCCAGGCAGGGCTCTGCACTGACAGAGCACGGGAGCAGGCAGTGCTGTATAGCACTGCCCACTAATGCACATAAACATCATTTAAAATGTACAGCTGTGGTTCATACTGCATCAAGGTTGCTGTGGGTGTTTTAAATGTTGGATTCTTCCAGCACATTGTAGGACTGCTTTATATAGACTCCTGTGTGAATTAGCAATAGTGGTTAGGCAGCTTAAAGCAAACCTCAAAGCCAGTGGTGATTTTTAGCAGGTCATTTTCAATGCCATAAACCCTGCATCAGTGACACCTTCACTGCTTTCACATTCATCACTCTTTACAAAGGACTTTAGTGCTATGATGCTATATTTTATGAATGTGCAAAAGGCTGTTCCATATCTGCAGTTTTCTTGGGCTGGTTTGCTTATCTGAGGCTGTTGCTCCTAATTACTTCCTTCATTTAGAATAAAACTGAGGAAAAATGAATTCTGTTGAAATAAATTGTGTATTGAAAGAGGCCAATGTGAAAAGTACTTGTAAAAATCTTTACAAAGAACAATCAAGTCAGGTTATTGTTGAGTTCTTATTGCCACAGGTCCTGGTTTC